AATTTAATTACTTTAGAAAAAAACAATTTAACTTTATTTACTGAATCTGTTGCCTTTTATCAGAAAGTTTCAATTGTACGTTCTCAGCTGCAGACTTGTTAGTTCCAATAAAGAACCATAGTAAGTGAATTCATTTTCCAAAGTCATCTTTTACATTTAGATAAATCTTGCTCTTTTAAATGTAGCAATATGATGCCTGTCATTTCTCCCCTAATTGGAAAGAATTGTCTACTTTTATTTAACTTTATTTTTGGTCTACTTCATCTCATCCATTAGAGATTTTTAAAAAATCAGGATCTTACTTTAACTTGGAATTCCTTTAAATTTTTTTCTGTTTGTGTCCACCAAGATGGTGGCTGTGGTTCTCGAGGATCAAATGTAGGTTACTGCCGGCCCCTCAGGTTCAGTAATCAGTGAGGTGAAAGGGTCTGGTTGATGGGAGCCATTCTCCCCGTTCCTACTCTGACTTTAGTACACTTGTGGTGTTTATACTATGTCAGCTTTTATTAAGATGAATTATGATCATTTCCATACAGCTGGGTGGCAGTTGTGGGAATTTGCATTACCAAAGCAAAATTCAGACTTGCTCAGCCAATTTAGATGTCAATAAAACATTCGTTACTTATTTTCAGTTTTATCATTGGTTTTAATTTTTACTTGGAATTGAACATATTAACATGTGTGACTGAGTTTGTTTTAATTAAGTGTATAATTAGGCTAATGAACCTTGTAAAAATGTAGTGGTGTAATCCTTAATATAATATAAGCAGTTAAATTTCTAATTATGCATCCAAAATCACATATGAAGATACAGTATTTCGATGACTTACTTTCTGGACTATAGACTCCTTTTCCTATTTTGGTATGTATGTATGTATGTATCTATCTATTTGTAAGAAACATTATTCAAAAGCCATGAGGAAGAGCTTAAAAGAATATGTGTATTTCCTTTTTTTTTTTTTTAGGAAAATTATTCAGAATTGAGATTTGTACATAAGTGGATATACTGTTTTCTCCCCAGTTTTGCAAAAGTTATAGGAAACTGGAAGAGGAGTATGTTTGGGGATGTTTCAGATTTATGAGAAGAAAAAATCCATTTGCTCAAAAAGCATATGTGTCACATAGGGTTTTCATTAGATTCACACAGGCGGTCAAGGAGATTATGTTTAGCACACCCCGAAACCCTACAGATGCATCGTCACGGAGCTGCTGTGCCACGTTAATCAGTGCTCCAAGCCTCTTCTCCTAGGTCTGTCAGCACAGTGTTTCTGGGTGGCTGGTTCTGCCCCTGGACTGCTCCCCCAAGCAGAATTCACTCAACTTAGCTCTTCTTTTCTTTTTCCCCCATCTTTTATTTTTCGCAAAGTGGTTTCTTCTTCTGATGGAAAATGGTTGCCCCTGAAAAGGAATTCGGGTACTAATTGCCAAGAAGAACAACTATTCTCTGTTCCAGCACATTGACGTGCCAAAATGTTCTGAAGTTCTTTACCTTTGGTTATTTTCTCTACTAAAAGTGTTACAGGAACCACAATACTATAGATAGTTAATTCTTTAAAGAACAGATTCTAGTTGCTGGTTGAATTGGCACAATATATACCTAAATTTTTTTAATTACACTATTTGAGATGCTTTTTAATTGAAAGAGGGAGATATGGAAATATATTTGCTTACACACACATTTTTTAGGAAGACGAAAGATCTCTCATTACTTTCCTTTGATTTTCCTTCAGAGGGTACTTTTCATTCTCAGTCTGGTTGTTATGCTGTCAGTTCAATTTTCTTGTGAAGTTTTTTGATAGTTCATTCCCATTCCTTTTGTAATCATTTTCACCTAGTGAAGCAAATGAGATAATTTTGCAGATTGTACCACTTTACTTTTAAATTAATCCATTCTTTTTGAGAGAATGATTCTAATAGTGTGGTCAAGTACTTAGAAATCAGCAGGCTACTAACTTCTCCTTAATTCAGTCTGTTCCTTTGATTCCCTGATCACTTGCTGTGTCACTCAAGAGTGAAATTCTTCCCCTTCTGTTCCTCCCTCCTCCCGCCACCCATCAGTTCTCTTGTCTCTAGTGCTGAGAAGCAGGATTCTGAGATTTTTTCTACTATTTTAACAATGCTGAGTTCTAAAGCCTTATCTAATAAACCTCTGTATGTTTTCTGTAGAGTAGTTTACTT